ACAGGACACCCCCTCCCCAAAAATTGCTGTACCTGCCCATCATTCCTCTCTCTTCCATTTTATTTCTGTGCTATACAAAGACACCTGTCATAGCATTCTGTGTAAATTACTACATCTCCCAGGACCTGTATCTACAGCCAATCTTCTTTTTACACTTAAAAAAAAAAAAAAAAAAAGGAAAAAGGGAAAGGAAAAAAAATGGAAACCAAATGACTACTGTAGACACTCTTAAGTTCCCTGTCAATCGTTTCATTATAGCAGCATCATCTGTTTGAAAATATAAGCAATTCCCTCATCTAATTATAGGGAGGATTTGAGGTTCATTAACATTGCCAAGGCAGAGAATCAGATGTGCAACTGCAGAGCTGTGCTCAGTGGCCTGCATTCTCTGTTTCCTTTTATTTGCTTTTTCAAGGTCTCCAAGACTTTTTCCTGAAACCATAAAAGTAATTCTTTCCTTCAAAATAGACATGTGTGTTTAGTAAAAGGAAATGACTGCATGTTGTACTGTTCTATTATTGGGCAAGGTCACTGGAGAAAAATAATTTAACCTAAATCATTTTATCTCTGATTCTGGATTAAAAAACAAAACAAACCAAACAAAACAAAACAAAAAAAAAAACACCAAGCAAGTAATCGTCATTACTTTTGAGCAACACATCTCAGGAAATCTTAAGACACATCTCATAATTTTAAATATTACAAGGCAGGGCGGGTGAACAGGAAACCTAACATGTCAAGAAAACCTCTTAAATTTCAGCACATTTGGTAGTTGTTTATGGATTAACATGCTAGCCAAGTGTAAAATCTTGCTTTGCATTTCCTAACTGTGTTTAGAAACTTAGAACACCAAAGTCTTCACAATTGCTTCACTTCCTTAAAGAAATAATAGCTTTTTTTTTTTTTTTTTTTTGGTATGAATGTAATTTAAACAATGACATTTTCTTAGGACATCTGTTTTGAGATCACATTTTGAATAGATATGAACTCATTTCCTACTAAGCAAGTAATTTACTATTGTTGATAGTTGTTTACGAGTTTTATGAGTCAGATTTTAGCAAGTGGCAAAGGCCTTTACAAATCCTTGGAGTATTCCCTAGACAGTATGCACAGTATATTCATTATATAAAATGTCTGGGAAGTATAGACTGTTCTTCACTTCCTACCATGTTGTAGAATGCAAAGCCTACCTCACAGAAAGAGCTTTAAACACATTTACATTTAAAGGCTTCTATCTTTTGTGGCTGCAGGTTAATGAAGTACAATTGCAGGGCAGTAAGTACTTAAGCAGCAAGGAAATAATTGAGGAGCTCTACCTATCGTTAACTTTGGAGTATGAGATGGTAAATATGAGACTGATCCTAATAACACTGAAAGATGCTAATATGACAAAGAGCAGAACCTCTTAAATGAAATTTAAAGTTTGACCTTGTCACTCTCTTTCTTTTAACTCTGCAATTAAAACCAAAACCACAGCATAATTGTAGAAACAATGCATTTTGTTTGATGCCATAGGGAATTCATTTTTTAAACAAGAAAACATTAATTTATCTATCCTGCCTATTGTATGTAGAATTGCCACTAAAGAGAACCCAGGACATTTTTCCTCCTTATCTGCAATGTAGCTCATATCAGCCAAGCTGTCACAAGACAGTACTTGATATAAACAAGAGATTGCAAAGACATCGCAGTAATCAATATTAGGATGGCTACAGTATGGAAGCCCCAACCACTGCATATCATTTGTCTCAGCATCTATTTCTATGACCAAATGAAGCATTAATTCAAATCATAAATCTATGGTGATTTAAATCTGGGAATGAGCACCTGCCTGCTTTAATGATTTATTTTGTACATTTCAGTAAGCAGGAGATTTGTCCATATGAACTGACAGGTCACCTTCAGATGCCAGTAGCAGACTGTTTATCACCATGCAGACTAGCATCTCATCTTAGCAAGTAAATATTAAACTAAAAGAATCCAATTGATTGTGGATGGGGGAGAAAGGCGTTGCAGCCATATATTTTACTCAGTGTGTTAATACCTCACTCTGATTCCTCTGTAATTTCTTTTTTTTTTTTTTTTTATCCTTTCTTTTCCCTTCTGAAATGGTAATTCTGGTGGGAGGATGCAAGCTCAAGGTTACCATGCAAAACTGAGAGATATAAAATAATTACTTGTTAGTATCACTGGTCTCCTTTAACTCCCTTCACTCACTAACCTTTTGGCCACTGCTTCAAAAGATCAAGTTAATAAATTTGTGTAGTGTTCTGTGTAATTATACAATGTTCATTTACAAAAATGACTTCTGTAAGTCACATTAAGCATCTGATTAAAACCAAAAAGCAAGACAATTCAGAAGTAAACGAATCTGTGATAAACCTGACAATTTGACTCCAGAGCCCATACTTTATTTTTCCTCTTTTACATGTATGACAAAAGTCCAAAAACAAGGTATGTTTATCCATGTACATTAACATACCATAGTGCCTGTTATGTGTGGGCTAAATTGTAAATTAAGCTTTTAGAATGTTTTTTATTTGTTTGTTTCTAATTTGGTCTGGTGCATAACATCATTTAAAACATAGACATATATCTGATTATTTTTTTCTGTTTCGCTCCTTTCTCCTGTCAGCGTTCAGAAGTTTCAAATTCATTCTTAATAAGCCATAATTTAAATTGTTAGTGATATATGGATTTGATAATATTTATTTGAAAAACCATAAACATCTGAAAAAAATGGAAAGAAAAAAAAAAAGCAACCCACCCAAATGTATGCCCACTAACGAGCAACACTTCTGAAATACGAGTTCCTGTCGAGATAATACAATATGCTGATTTTCAGTAATGCAAATGTCAAATAGAGACTTAATGAACCTAATAACATTCTGGCATCATTATTACCAATCATCACTTTTCTGATTCCATAGGCATAACTGACCCTGGACACTAGACAGGATCCACTATACAGGAAAAAATAAATACAAACAATTTTTGAGAAAATCTCTGTAGGAAAAGTATATTTCAAAAGTCTATGCACAAGTAAGCAGGATGTATTTCCAGATGCACTGCTCATGGAATAGAGACAACTGAATGCTATTCAATGTACTCAGAAGACCAATTTTATTTTTTTAGAACAAAATGAACTCAATTCTTCATTCTGTTAAATAGGGAAATTAAGTGAAGTTAACAAGTAAGTTAAGGGGCTGAAAAGGAATTTTGACAATGACAATAATGTTACTTCACTAACTTTGTCCTACTAAAATAGCTTGAATACATTTTAAACAGGCAGTATGTACAAGAGCAGATTAACTATTTAAATCAGGTCTCAAACAATGATTTTAAGATTGATTCTTTAATTATTTTTATTCAGATGGAATTCAGCTATTCCTTCTACAAATCTCACAAATACTTCATGCAGCTTACATGTTCATTATTTGCAAACTTCCCTATTTCCATAAATAGGCAACTGGTTTATCACTAGTACTGCCAAGCAAAGTAACAGTTCTCTAACTCAAAATTTGAACATTTTATTTCACATACTGCACTGAAATTCAAATCTGAACTAGCTTTGAGTTCAGGCTCTTTCCCTTGAATTTTGCATTTACACTTTTCACTCCTCATTATTTTACTGTTCTTTCAGCATCTTAGGGTCTACCTGGCCCTTCCATTTTATTTGTGTATATCCATTCCCCTTCCAGATTTTAAAGACACCTGCCTGATCTTCAACATTTCCAACAATGTCCTCTCCTTTCCAAGAGGATAACTTTCCCAGTACTGATTGCATGTGTTGACAATCAAGTACTGTCGCAATCATTTAAATCATTTTATCACAGAAGCATTTTTAAAAGATTTCTTTAAAGGAAAACAAAAATTTGGTTTTCACTTCATGTGATCTTGCACGCATATTGTTGATATTTAAAATAGCATTCCTTGGTGAACTGATTCTTTGTACTGCCACATTACTTCTTAATAACAGCCTACCAATGCTATTGAATTGTACAGAATTACAGTTCATGAATATATTTACTTATATTGAGACAAGTACATAACTAATTAAGACTCATTTCAGTTGTACTTAAGAGATGTAATATGAGAAATTAACCAGAATTTAACAAAAGAGCAAGAAATAAAACCCCAGAACTCATTTTTTTCAGCCATTTTATTCCAACATACACCAATCTTGCCTCCAGTCTCCTGAACGTACCTCTTTGTCATTGAATTTCTGTTGCTGAGTTAATACTGTCTCAACATGATAAAAGGAACCAATACAATGAAATGGCATAACAAAACCTTTTACAGCAGACACACACAGATGATTAAAGATTTAATCAACAACAACAAAAAGTTACCCTAGCTTTGAAGTATGCGTTAGCAAAACAAATCGTCCAAACAAATGAATAAAGTATACTGAAACAATTCTTTTTGAGAAAGAACATGAGTTGCTGATGGCTGCTTAAGAAATGGAAAAATCTGTTAACTACATTTTAAGAATGTGTTTATTAAAATAAAATATGATAGGAACTGCAGAGCATGGCAATAATTTATTGTGTATGTATGTTTTCCTTTTGTCACAGGGCACATGAAAGTATGAAATATTTTCCTTTCAAGCTTGTGTTCTGAATTACCTAAAGTCGATACCCAGCACACTGAGCAGGAGACATTGTTAAATTTCATTTTGACACCATCATCTGTCACCCCACCTGTACTTTGACAAATGAACTCTAAGCAATCAAACCACTTTCTTTCATGGAAAATATTAACTGAAGTCTGCAAAAGTAACCTGTAAAGGAAAGAATGTTTTTGTAATAGTAACAACAATGCTGAACGCAGGTGTAAAGGTCATACACAAAACAAAACAAAACAAAACAAAAAAAGGAAAACTAATATGCAACACTTTACACCAAATCAAGATTTCAGAAGGAAGGCCAGGAGGATCACCATTTTAATAAAATTCTTGACTGTTATGTATAAATAATAATGCTGTATCTGAGACTTACCAACACTTGAATTCAGATCTCCATTTTCAGAGTCTGCTCCATGCTGGTTATTATTTGCATGGTAGTTGGACATAGCTTCCAATTTAATTTTTTTCACTTTCATTGCTTCTGCTATGGCAGCATTGGTGGCAGCTGCTGCTGCTGCAGCTGCTGCTGTCAAGCCTGCAAAGAAGTATGAATAACATTTAATACACATGATTCTATGATTCTTCATTATTGTAGGGATTAAGACTGCTACTTTTCCTTCACGCTGCCTATACAGCGAACAGAGAATACTGCAGAGTGTTCACCATTCCACTCGTTTCATTTGAAGGTTATCAATTTTTTTCAAATCAAATGCTACACATCCTATTTAGAGAGCTACTTCTAAACATACTGCATCCATCTGAATCTTTACTTGGTGTTCAGAAACTGCAGTTAGAGTACAGTCAAAACTTACTGTATCTATAAATATATGCTCTCAGAAATTAAATTTAGCCTGTAAATGGTCTGATTAAGAAGAGGTGAACATCCACAAAACTGTACCTAGAAAAAAACCTTTTAGATGCAAAGTGCTTTTACCGTGTTAAATAGAGAAGAAAACACAAGTCTAGAATTCATATTTATGAATAATAGATGAAAAATATAGGCATTTATTTCCTATTTCCCACATAACATCTAGAAGATGTGGGCCCTAATAAGAAGCATTTTTAGAAGAAAGGTTAGTTAAGCAGAACCTTGGTAGAACTTTGGTAGAATCTTGGTAGAAATATGCTTTCCAAAAACTTCAAGGCATTATGTCATTTATCAACAAGAATGCAATCTCTTAAACCAATTTAATCCCAAACCTAAAGCCACCATCAGGTACTTCAAGTGCTTTTCCTACCAAACCACATTTCTGCCATCCACCCATACACAAGAATGTTTTGCAAAAATGAGAGAAGTCTTCTCTGTCTAAAGCAATTAACAGAACATTTCCAGTAATGCCTTCACAACTAAAAACAAGCTACTGTTTTTATGCAATGTTGTAATTTTTTTGCTTTCTTCCTTGAGGCAGAATAATTTGTCTGCTGTCTCCAGTCAGTGCTGCTTCTCACTCCCATCACTTTGCCAGAGCCTGGATGATGATGGAGAGTAGTCAGTGTCAAAACTTCACAAGAGCTATGCAGGAAAAGATCTCCACTTTCTGCTTATCCTGCATGATTAAGCAAGGAAGTAGAGATGAAAATTAAAGAAAATTAAACGTAAGATATTAAAGAGAAGGCACTCCACAACGTAAGTTTTATGCAGTAAAGCTACCAACCTATACCTCAACCTGTGATGTCACACGAGTAGCAGACCCTCAGACATTCTGAACCAAGATTCTTGCCCTGACAGGAGAGACAGCTTCAAAAATCTCACATTAATTAGTTTAAAGGCGTCTGCTTCTCTGTTTTTCAGCTAGCCTGAGAGGTGTGAAGTGTGTTACATATCTCAAGAGAAATTAACTCCATTACTTAATACTGGGCCTAGGCTTCTGCTCAGCATAGGAAGAGTGCACTTTAGACAGAAAGACCCAATAAGCAAATAATCCCAGGTTGGTGAGCTAAATATTTCTATCATTACTGCCACCCAGACCCTCCTGTTGTCTCTTTTGCCTTCTTAAATGAAAAATGAGTTCACTATTCCCATGTTTTCAGCTAGCAATGGGGAGAGAAAGAAGGACATCCAACAGGAAGAAAGCAGAAGGTGAACAGACCTTCAGAGAATCTCCACCACCATGGAGAAAACAATGAGGTGGCATAAACAGTACCTTTTAATATATGATGTCTTAACTCAAGGTCGCTTTCCCTAATTTCTCTGCATGATTGCATAAGCATTAGCAAACAACTCCAGTCTCATAAACAGACTTCCAACACCTTCAAGTGCAATAAGAATTACCAAGTATGTGATAATTACATTCTGCACAGGCAGATCAATATTATTTAGAAAACTGCTATTTCAGGGAGAAGTACTAAAGTAAAACAAAAAATAAAAAATAATTAAAAAAAAAAAAATCAGAAGGTGGATAAACTTGAGGGTTTCATTTTATTTTAGTTTCTGCTTCCATTACAAAATGTGCATGTTCTGATCTTTAAGAAGATATTGACAATGACATGGATTACTTCCAAAGATATTTTTACCTCAGAGGAAGGATATGAAGTTATACATTATACAGATTTGGTTGCAGTCCCTAAATTAGGCCACCAAGAAAGGGATAGTGCACCTCCGAACCTGGGTTTGCATCCTGTGTTCATTAAACAATACAATATCCTATACTTCCTTTTTTTCTATATACACCACTCACAAGCTAAAACTAGCATATTTAAAGAACAAACCTGTAGAGAAATATTCAAATATCAATATATACAACCAATAATTACAAGAGCAGGTCTCAAACTTTTGGTTATGACTGCACTTCAAGACCAATTTTTAAGTAATTCCAAGTATTAGTATAAACACCACATTAAACAGATAATCCAGTGGACTTGTGAGCTCATCTGGAAGAATAGTTTTTCACTGGAAAACATTATTTTTCCCACTGCAGAACTGGTAAAACACACACTCTCTTTTGCTATAAAATTTGCAAAAATGTATGCATTTATGCTTTCCTCTGAAGTAGGCCATAGTGTTTCTCTGTAGAGGAAACCTTAGCCTTTGGATATGGACTAGGAAAATAAAAAAGCTTAGATCTGTAATACAACTTTTTTCAAAAAAGAGCTTGTAATAATAAATGATAATTTTAAAAAGTAAACTTTTAATTTTATTCCTACTCTCATACACCTGCATAAGTAATTGAAATGATTGTTTTGCCACACAGCAATTAATTTAAACTGTAAGAATCTGGAATGTGTCTCTCATACAAGCACAACTGGGGGTGGGAAAGGGATTGAGTATGGAATAATCCAAAGAAATGTAGATTAATCATGGTCATTCTACCCTACAACAGTTTTGCCTTACTGATAATTTTTTGCTATCATTCCACTGCCATAATACAGCAAATGGCAAGGAAGGTCCAAGCCAGTCACCAGAGCCCCTGGCATTACAATCAAAAGTGCACTGTAGAATGAAACAGAGCAAAAATTTCTTGCTAGCACATTGCCCTACCTGTCTCACCAAAAGAGGCCACCGTATATACTACAAATAGAAGAGATTAATACAATCCTATGTAAAATCTGCATGTATATTTTAAAATTATAAACTTTAAAGTTCATGTGTGCTTGGGTAAATACTTGCAATTCTTTCTTAAACTGGTTGTTTGAAAAAGCCCTTTGACCGAAACATTAATTAGTATCACTTTTCTCTTACAGCAAGTAGCCACAGAATTTCCAAGGTGTATATTTTTCCTTACAGAAATTTTCTCATCAATACGAGGAAAGTCATCTATAAAGGCAACTGAAATGGAAGACAGAATAAGAATCACACTGAACAGCCACTTGGTTACTTTTTATTCTTTAGAAAAATTTATCTGGACAGTTAAAAAGTGTCCAGGCCAAAATATTCAATGGATTAAAGTCAAGGCTGGCTGTCATTAATATTCTGAAATTGATAAGTTGTTTATGTCTGGCATTCTTCCTGCTGATTATGCAGTGAGACAGGCAGCTTTATAAATATCTCATCACTCCATAGACACACAACTTTCATCGACAGTGCTCATGCACAGCTATTAGCAATATGAATCTAACCATTACAAGAGGAAAGAAAATCGAACATGTGGCATTAATACGCAGTCCTGGTTCCTAACCATCTGATAGGCAGATGGTGTAAAGCGGATTCTCCAGCTGAAATGAAGGGGCACATCATTTAAAACCTTGTTTGCATTCTAACTGATATCAGTGCCATATTGATATACATGATACATCATGGCAGTATTTGAACAATCTAGTTTGTTTCAGTCATAAATGTTTACAGCCTTGTTTTTTATCTTTAAAAGCATGTTCTGAAGAGCGTATTTTTAATTTATGAAACCTATTGTTTACTTCTGTTGAACCAGAAGATTAGCAAAGAGCAAGAATATTAAATTACCACAACCACAGCAGTATAACTAAGATGGATGAATAAAGTATGTTTTTTTTCAATAAAAGATGTTAGTAAAGGAATTAAAAAATTAGCCTAGGCATTTTATGCATTAAATACATTTATTCATTTAAACCTTACAGCTTTTTTCCCATGTGACATACTTAGAACTTTAATGCTTTATAAAGCTATTCATTTAAATCTCTTACTGCATGCAATTAATCTTGTCCAACAATTTAATTCAAAATGCAAAACATCAGAAAGCAAAGTTCAATTCAACATCATGGTTCTGAAGTAATCTGAGTACTGCTGACAGTTCCTATAGACTCATCAGCAAGTCTGCTCAAGGTGTCTTGTAGGAACCGCATGAATTTGAATTACAACTCAATTGAAAGCTCTCCAAGCCTTAGTAGGAACTCAAGAACAAGAAGCAGAACACCAAAAGTGTGAATGATCCTTTTCTACAAAGACCTTCCTCTTCTGTCACTAGATTATTTTGGCCTGTTGGGTGTGTTTGTTAATTATGTTAATAAAGTTGCAGCCTGCTGCCTCTGCCAAATATAATCATAAGCATTCCCTGCCAAGTTCTGGTTTAATTTACACCCATGCAACTCTAGTGAAGACAGAATTTTGTGGGTGAGAATGAGACCAGAAGTATGCCCAGTATGCATGGTCTATAACGCTGAAAAATGAGTGAATGAAACACAATGACAAAACACATAACATCTTCAGGATAAAAAAAAATGAAGTGTTTTAAAAGCAAAATGCCCAAGAAAGCTGTCATATACAATGGCAGATTTTCAAAAAGTGTACAAAGTACTGTTGGAGACACACAACTTCCAGCAAGTACTATTCCCTGCCTTTAGAGATTGCCCTTAACACTTACAATTCTTATGGCATGATGATATTACACCTCATCCTATTTGTGAAAGAAAAATATAAAATAAAGTATGAGCATACTTCTCAGGCTCAAGTATGTCTCAACATTCACAGTTTGATTTTTATCCCTAAATCTGGTCTGCAGACAAACTACAAAAATATTTCAGTCACTGATTTTACTTAACTTTTAACTTTCTTCATACTATTTCTAATAGTAATTGGCATTCCTAATAATCATTCCTAGTAATTATTAACTTCCTCAATATAAA